TACTGAAGTGGTAGGTGCACCAGCCATTGTTGTTGCTGCTGAAGTGGCAGGTGCACCAGCCATTGTTGTTGCTACTGCTGAAGTGGTAGGTGCACCAGCCATTGTTGTTGCTGAAGTGGTAGGTGCACCAGCCATTGTTGTTGCTGAAGTAGTAGGTGCACCAGCCATAGTTGTTGCAGGTGCACCAGCCATTGTTGCTGCTGATGTGGTAGGAACAGCAGGCGTTGTTGCTGCTTTAGTGGTAGGTGCAGCAGTTGTAGCCGCTGTGGCTTGGGCTGCAAGAACTGTTGAAATTTGAATGAAACAATGAAAGTCTTTAGACTCACAATTTTACACAAAGCAAGATAACATAAAATAGCAACTCAGCTTACGCCTGCATACGCAAATCGCGACACTCAAACCCGAGTTCCTACAAGCCACAATGACTGTTACAGATACTCCTACTTTCTCGGACTGTTAGGGACTGGAATACATTTCTGCCGGCCATACCCGCAATCCCTGAGGCCGACAAGCTTATGGAAGCAGTCCTACTACAATTAAGAGCGCAGCGCACTCCCCCCCCCCCCCCTGCGTGTCTTACGCCAACTGAGGGGTGTTACGCAGGACCTGTTTTAGAAAAAAATCCAAGGGCTGATCCGTTATATAGCAATACAGTGCTAAATCGAGAAGTGTCCCTCAAAGGAACAGAAGACAGATATTAAGCGGGGTAAATAGTTGAAAAGTAGTAAATCACAAGTTTTTATATTGGTACCTGCCAGAAGTTGTATCATGCAATCTTCTCAATATAATCTAGGCCAAAAGATTATATTTCTTTTTTATAAACATCGATGAAGAACGTGGAAATACAAGGACTAGACCTCCAGGTATTACGTAGTGTTAGATAGCTTTTTAGACATCATAGGTGAAATATGAACGTTGACTATGGCAGGTTGACTATGCATGCCTGTTCTTGATAGGCACAGGCATCTGGTTTCAAACTATGAAAGTACTAGCCATCGTACATGCCGGGGCTCCCCCCCCCCACCACACACACGATATCATAACAGCTATAAACAATGTAACTAGTTAACTGTCTCATATAGGTTTGATTTCATGGCCAGGTCCCGGCACGGACTAGGCACTAGTCATGTAAACGTTTACTTACTAATTGTACGATAGTTGACATGTATGGTGGGGGAGGGGGGCGAGGTGTCAACATAGCTTTTTATAAAGGCCAACGACATCACGACACGGAAATAGCATTAAAAATCACTTACCGGTGAGCAACACAGTGCAGACAATCACAGTCCCCTTCGCCATCCTTTGCTGAATACCTTTGGAAGCTTCAAAAACGACCTTTCACAAGCGCAACCCTCAACAGCAGTTCTCAAACTTGAATTTGCTACTGCTGACCGGTCAGTAGGGGGTACAGACCACACCCTGACGTCCCAACGTACTATAAAGAACCTGGCAACTTACACCGCAACGGTCTGTCACATTTCAGCCAAGCCCCCGTTACCGATGAATGTAAGTACATATTTCTTATTGAATGCACCCGGTCTTGTTTTTGTTGTCGCAAAATATCCCATTTCTTCGCCTTTGTGGACGTACCAATAAGTGCCCACTCCGTTGAATGGTTCTCTAATTACCCTAAAATATTTGCCTTGTAAGAAATGCCAACGGAGCGTGGAGTCCTTTGTTGGGGAGAATATTTTCTTACCAGTTCGGCATACAGTACGGTGTGTGTGTGTGAGAAAAGTCGAGGCAAGAAGGTCCAAAAGTTAACTAACTCTGTTACCGACTACAATCGTTCATTTCCTATAGAATTTCAATAAGTTTATAGCGTTTGGGAATCATTTGCCATCGCAGTGTTCATTCATGATGTGTTTTTATATTGTAGCACAAAGAGAAAATGTACGTTTTTAAAACACTACCAGTGTGACTTCAAAGGGGGTTCAATGCCCCTTTTTATGAACGCATATCTATACCTGTAGTTTACTTACATTTTCATAGCAAAACTTGGTAAGATTTTTTACAAGATAATTACGGCTGTATTAGTAACAATGGCTACAGTAAGAGATTCGCACATCCGTTAATTGCCACATGACTCTGACACACGGAAATAAATTTCGAGCAGGAAAGACATTTAGTTTTGTAACGATCCTCTGTGCTATATACACCAGTAATAAAAGAGTTTCTTGGTAATGCACTGTAAAGTGGAGTCACGTGCAGTTTTAAACCTTCTGGTTCTGGATACGGCAAGATCTAACGAGCCAACTTAGGAATGGGATTCAGGATGGATTCCGTACATCTAACGTTGGTGATTTGTATTTGTGGTAAGTACAGTTTTCCTTCAACACGTCTGTTGTTTCAGTGTGATGTAGACCAAATGTACGAAAACACTGACATGTTTGGGTTGTAATACATGCGTCGGTGAAATGTGTTTGTGTGGGGGGGGGGCTCATTTTTGGCGCGAAATGGTAAAATGGCATTGAATTGAAATCTTGAATCAAATACAAGGAACGTTCTGATATTTGATGGACCTTACAAACAACTTTGATTTCGTACCTTACTTTGGTTGTTATGTAAAACCTGTAGTTGTACAGATACTCCATAGGTGATAACAACGGTTATCAGAATCATGTCAGAAAACGTTTACTCAAAGAGCAGAATTTCGTTAACTAGATAAACAAAATGAACTGTTAGGCTTTCTGGTCCTTTTCTGAGCAGACGTATGCTTGTACAATCTCTTAAAATGTGCAGTATAAAATGTGTTTCTAAGTCTTCTTTCATCTGTCAAAGCACAAGGAAGTAGGCTGGAAAATTAATTCTGAGTCTACAGAATGGCTGAAATTTATCTATTATGGTTTTATTGTTCCATGACATATGATACAAGAGTAATGATTACGAAATAATTGCCTTTTTGCTTGTTACTAACGTGACGTCTAACATATAACATAATGTTGCGATTCTCAACCCCTAGTACCTAAAAATGGCATATTTAGCCTTAGTATTAGAAGGTTTCGCACCCTATGCATCGAATATTCATATTCACTGTGTTAGAAAGTAGGAAAAGGTTTGTATGTCAACAAAGTAAACAACATGCTTGTGCATAATTTTAAGCATTTCAGTCATTAAATTCTGTTGGTAACACTTTGATGACTTTGTAACTCTATCCACCATTCAAGGGTCGGTAGTACTATTGAATGGTATTGCGCTAGTGTAAATAGAGCCATGGTTATAGTAAATATTGTGAGTGAACCTGGCTGGTGTAGTGAACGAGTCAATGACTTTCTATAACACGACAATCTTTCATCCCGAACTACACAATTTAAGAATAATTTGGCAAGCAGATATATGTAATATATATGTTGTCTCACCTAAAAAGTACAAGACCCTGGTCATTAATGCGAACCTATGAATTAGACTTAGTTTACAGGCGTTGATATATGATATGACGTTATTATTATACTTACCAGGTGCTACTTTTCATCAATGCATTCAACCACATACTACCACACCCGTTTGTGCCTTCAGGGATGACTCACTGATAAGCCAATGCATTCACATGACTTGTATAGAATTAATGATTTGGTAAAATATTTGAGTCAGATGAAAACTTTCTCTTCAGAGCAAAACAAAATTAACTCATTTCTTTCACGTCTTACTTCACATCTCCAACTCAATTATTCTCAACAGGTTTTGTAGGTACAACCACAGCAGCGACGACTGTTGCAACTGGTACAACTATCACTACAGCGGCAACAATGACTTCTGCGCCTACCACTGAAGCAACAACAATGACTGCTGCATCTACCACTAAAGCAACAACAATGTTCTAAAACAGGTCCTGCGTAACACCCCTCAGTTGGCGTAAGACACGCAGGGGGGGGGGGGGGAGTGCGCTGCGCTCTTAATTGTAGTAGGACTGCTTCCATAAGCTTGTCGGCCTCAGGGATTTCGGGTATGGCCGGCAGAAATGTATTCCAGTCCCTAACAGACCAAGAAAGTAGGAGTATCTGTAACAGTCATTGTGGCTTGTAGGAACTCGGGTTTGAGTGTCGCGATTTGCGTAAGCAGGCGTAAGCTGAGTTGCTATTTTATGTTATCTTGCTTTGTGTAAAATTGTGAGTCTAAAGACTTTCATTGTTTCATTCAAATTTCAACAGTTCTTGCAGCCCAAGCCACAGCGGCTACAACTGCTGCACCTACCACTAAAGCAGCAACAACGCCTGCTGTTCCTACCACATCAGCAGCAACAATGGCTGGTGCACCTGCAACAACTATGGCTGGTGCACCTACTACTTCAGCAACAACAATGGCTGGTGCACCTACTACTTCAGCAACAACAATGGCTGGTGCACCTACTACTTCAGCAACAACAATGACTTCTGCGCCTACTACTTTAGCAACAACAATGACTGCTGCGTCTACCACCAAACCAACAACAATGACTGCTGCATCTACCACTAAAGCAACAACAATGACTGCTGCACCTACTACTTCAGCAACAGCAATGACTTCTGCGCCTACTACTTTAGCAACAACAATGACTGCTGCATCTACCACTAAAGCAACAACAATGACTGCTGCGCCTACCACCAAATCAACAACAATGACTGCTGCATCTACCACTAAAGCAACAACAATGGCTGGTGCACCTACCACTGAAGCAACAACGGCTGGTACAACTTCTCCAGTAACAACAGAGATCGGTACATTATCTATCATTCTTGACTACTTGTGCCTTCCTTTGTACACCTGCCACTCATGCATTGCATGTACCCATGTTTCCACAGCTTGTCGTATACTTAACCATTCATATCATTCTATTTCTATGCAGCTGTTGCAACAACCACCAAAACGACTGGCCAAACTACAACTGCCATGACCATCACAACAACACCAGCAGGTACAGGCAATACGAAAATGTTATTCATTGTTACAGTCTTGACACATGTTAACTGTGTAAACATTACGACAGAAGGGTAGCAAAGGGCTTACTTGAAGATTAAATAATAGGTTTCACATGGACAGACAGCGAATTGTTGAACATTGAAGACCTAGACCATTTGAAATACGAAGCAATCCCCTTGAAGAAAATAAGGACATGTATGGATTGTGTCTCCTCTAAATATATGTTGGGACTAAGTAGGTTTGACTTGGATATTAACCAAACATGGAAATGTACAACGAAGAGCACCTCTATAGAAGTGTTGTCGTTCTCTTTGTGCCACAATATTGATGGTGAATTATTTGATGCTCTATACATGTACTTGGAAACACTTTGTCACATGCACTGTATTTCATTGTTCTATTCAGAACCCGACATGCCTTCAAACCTTCGGTTAATCCTAAGAGAAACAGACCGGCTCGGACTGGAATGGACTGGTACTGGTGATAACTACCGGGTGACCTACCAGCCGTCTGGAGATACAGGAACTGTCTCTGTGTCCTCCACACCTAACACCACACACACCATCGGTAACCTGACGGCGGGGACGTCGTACGCTGTCAGGGTGTACAGTGTCAGCGGATATCTGCAAAGTGCGCCACTGGAAGGACATTGGGATACAAGTAAGCTCATGTTTCGCAACTTATTTGTGCGTGTGCGTGGGCCTACTGTTCGTAGATTAAAGCAACAATAGATAGTGGTAACTTGTAATTATTTACTAGTAAATATGACCAGAATGTAGAGTGAAATACAGTTACTGTAGCGCTATCATCTAAAAGCTGCAGCTTTCCGATTTGCATTTTTTTATTTCAACATTTAAAACAAAACATTTAGTAGTGGCGTATGGAAGCAAAGCTTTGACGCACTCAAGCGATTTGTTGCAACCTCTTGTGTCTTCTGGGGCTACAAGTCTTGTCGCTCAAGGAGGTTACAATTCGTCACATATATTTTGTTCTTTTTCAGAACCTGAGGCTCCCACAGACCTCCAGTTGTCCACAGTGGGCACAGACACCCTCAATGTGACGTGGACTGCCACTAGTTCTGCTGATTTCTACCGTGTAACTTACGAGCCATCTGATGGCCCTGAAATCGAATTTGTGGCCTCCACGACTGACACCACACACATCATTGGGAATCTGTCCGGAGGAACCTTGTACACTGTCAGGGTGTACGGGATCAGGAACGTTGTGGAGGGCGAACCGCTCCAGGGAGATCAGACAACAGGTAATCACGAGACAGTCGCTTTCCATGCACAAGGTCTGTATTAATGCAGCCAATGAGAATATACATATTTCTGATGGAGTCAAGTCAAACACACCAAGTTGTTCTCTATATTTATTCAATAACACATGGTAACGGTGCCTCTCATCTGACCTTTACAGATCCGGAGGCTCCTACAAACCTTGAGTTCTTCTTTGTGGGCACGAACATTCTAGATGTGGCGTGGACACGCTCTAGTTCTGCTGATGAATACAGAGTGACCTACCAGGCGTCTGGGGGTAACGAGACCGACCATGCGGTACAGACAAGCAATGCACGCAGTATCTTTGGTCTGTCTGCAGGAACCCTGTACACTATAAGGGTGTACAGTCTGAGCAATGGTGCACAAAGCCTGCCACTTGAAGGACATCAGAGAACAAGTAAGGTCATTTTTTTATCAAAATGTGTCAAATGTTGTTTTTAACGCATGGTACAAGAGATTATGAAAAAGCATGACATGTCTAGTGTCAAAATGGCTAGTAACAAGGGAAAATATCATGGACTCTTCAATTGTTGAAGAGAGAGAGAGAAAGAAACAAAGAAAGAAAGAGTGAGAGAGAGAGGAAGCACTATGTCCACACTTCTTTGTGTATGGTCCAAAATAACCTTCGTGTATGGTTAAAAATAACCTCAATAAAACGTTTGGTTACAACATCTTCAGATCCCGAAGCTCCCACAAACCTACGGTTCATCACTGTGAACACAGACAGCCTTGATGTGTCCTGGAATGCCTCTAGTTCTGCTGATTCATACAGAGTCATCTTCAACTCAACTTCCGGAGGTGTGGATGCTGTATCTGTCAACTCCACATCCAACACCACACACACCATTACGAGTCTGCTGCCAGGAACCCTGTACACGGTCAGAGTCTACAGTCTCAAGGCTGGGTCTGTAAGCGTCTCGCTACAAGGAGACCAGGGAACAAGTAAGAAATTTGTGTTACTTCATGTGGCAATTATCAGAAGTGTATGCAACAAAATGCATGATGTTAACCTTCACATGGTCTATCATAACAAACTGCTGATCTATTCTTTCGTACTGGGACATTCTTATGCAGACACTTTCTTGTATTAGTATATGGTGAACAGACTAGGAGTGCATGTGCCTTCTACAGTTTCGATGACCAATTACTTCCTGCTTTAAGCAAATTTCACGTAAATCAAGTAATTTCTTGCTGAATGATGATGTAATTGTAAAATGTGTTTTTATCTTTTCTTTAGAACCCGAGGCTCCTGCAAATTTTCGTTTCTCCAGACTGAGCACAGACAGACTTGTAGCAGAATGGAACGCGTCTAGTTCTGCTGATACATACCGAGTGACCTACCAGGCACCTGGTGACCCTGAGGTTGAGTCTGTGGCCTCCACGCCTAGCACCACACACACCATTGGTAATCTGACGGCTGGAACGGGGTACACTGTCAGGGTGTACGGAATCAGACACGGTGTAGAAAGCGATCCCCTTCAGCGAATTCATACTATCAGTAAGCTCCTTTTATTTACAATGTTGGGCTGTGTATTTTAACGAAACGTTGTTTGGATTTAAATAATTTGTATTTAATTTGATAAAAGAATGCAAAAAAGTGTTTTTAAACATCTGGTACATAAAATTAGTCAGTGAAAAGTATGTTAAATTCATAGTTCGCAGTATCAATGGAGTGTTGACTATTGTCTAATGATTGATACCTGAAAATGGTAGGCTGTAAGCCTGGCGTGGGATAATAATAACTGATACCTGTCGACCCCTTTAGGGCCAGAGGCTCCTACAAACCTTCAGATCATCACAGTGAACGCGGACAGCCTTGAGGTGTCCTGGACTGCCTCTAGTTCTGCTGATTCCTACGAAGTCACCTGCTTGGCGTCCGGTTTTGGGTATTCCACATCCACTACACACACCAGTCACACCATTGAGGGTCTGTTGCCAGGAACCCTGTACACGGTCCGGGTCTACAGTCTCAAGAACGGTGTTGAAAGCGACCCGAAGCAGATAAACCATGGAACAAGTAAGATTCTTTCATCTACGAAGCTTAACATATACATGTACAAATTACAAGGAACGGAAGATTGGTTAAAAGGTTTAAAATATGGAAAATGGTGGTTAACATGTTGGATAAATACGTCATTCGTTGACGACATGACAGGGAGATTACATTTTGGAATTTGGTTGAGAGGGTGCGTTGAGTCTATGTGCGTTAACAGTACAGAATGACCATATAAAGAAGAAACAGAACCAATAGTTAGTATTAGGAAAACTCAATTATTAGTTGCTCAGTTGACATAATGTGTGACGATACTTTGGACAAAGTCATTCGTAGCGTTGTGAAAATGACAGCGATGAGACCGGTTTCGACTTTCTCGAGAATCTACTTCTCAAGAAGATACGAGTACTTTCCTCACTTCGCTCAGGTGAAAATGAGTATTGTCCTGTCATGTATTTGTCCCCTATTTTGGTGGCGGCATTAATATAAGTTGAAAAAAATTGAGTGTGCCGTCACCAGGTCTGGTGATTACATGTCGGAATAAAGCGTTACCCGTTAAATACCCGGTACTAATTTTTGTCACTTCTGTATGTTTTCCATAGGACCAGAACCTCCTACGAATCTTCAATTTGTGACTAGTTTGTACGATATTGAAGTGTCCTGGAATGCATCCAGTTCTGTTGATACCTACAATGTGACCTACCAGGAGTTTGGGGACACTGAGAACGTGGATGTCATTCCTGGGTACAACTCCAGTCATGGAATCTCTGGTCTGCAACCAGGAACCTTGTACACCGTTAGAGTGTACGGTATCAAGAACGGCGTGGAAAGCCTGCCGATCGAAGGGAGTCAGAGAACGAGTAAGATAATTCTATTTGTTAACTTATTGTCATTTTCAATTCAAAGGGTGGTAGACATGTTTAAGAGTGTTAGTATTCACGTACTAATGCTGAGTCATAGATATCATATCTAATTTCCTCCATTTCAATGGTGATAAGATAAGCTACACCTTACTGGTAGTATAGCTTTAACTGTAAATCCTCAGGGTCATAACTGGGAATGGCCATTGCCAATTTTAGTGACTTGCAGAGGATATGTAGTATTTAAAACGTATGTTATCTGTAAAAGCATAATGATGTCCTTTTTTTAATGTCAATGCTCAATTGCAGTCGTAGCCATGCCAAGTTTTATCACATTTACTGAAATAACGGAGAACAGCATCAACATCACCTGGGGATCTGCAGATGGTGCCAAAGACAACTACAGCATCAGCATCTCTCCTGCTGATGGTGACAACCCTACCGGAAGCGTGGACGATGGTGAACCACTAGAGTACCTCTTCACTGGTCTGATGGGTTGGACCTTTTACACTGTCAGCATCAGAACTGTCAGTGGTGGGGTGACCAGTGAGGAAAATTGGGCGGCTCGAAGGACAGGTAAGTGGAAAACATACCAAGACCTGCTTTAAAATGATTACAATATCAATACCATATCCGAAGGCACATGCACAATTTCTTTCAACCATGATCTATTGTTTTCCACAATTGTTGAAAATGTATACAGATGTAGCCCCACCAAGAAACGTGAGCATCGTCGAGGCAACAGAAAACAGCATCAACATCACGTGGGCAGCTGCAGCTGGGAACAAGGACAGCTACTTTATTAGTATTTCTCCTCGTGATGGTGACAACCATGCAGGAACTGTATATGATGGAGACCCGCTGGAGTACACCTTTACTGGTCTAACGCCGGGAACACTGTACACAATTAGCGTCGTAACTGAGGCTAGTAAGAGGGAAAGCGTGGCAAGCACAAAGATACAAAGGACAAGTAAGTGTTAAACTCTTAACCATTACGGTATGGCCAGAATAGATTTCGGTTATACGTAAAAGTAAAAATAGAACTGTTTTTCAATATCTAACAGCAAAATCTAGGAAGAAACATCACTGCTTAAAACTACAGAACCTGAGACATGTCAGCATGCAGCAAGCTCGTTCGCTAAACAGTGTCTTCAATTTGACATGGCAGCCCTTCTATTGTTATTGTCCTTGACCTTGGTATTTGTATACTTGTACAGAGCCAAATCCTCCGAGAACCATCACAACAGACACAGTCTCAGCGAGCATAGCGGCTTGGGAACCGTCAACTGGAGGTGTGGTCTCTGGATACGGAGTCTTGTTCACATCAGATGATGGTAGTCCCCGCCACACGGTGACGGTTGACAACGCAACAAGCAACACGGCCTCTTCGCCCGTTGCCCTGGCCACTGGTGCACTGTACACACTCGAGGTGTTTGCATTCAGTGACGAAGGCGGTTACAGGACAGAGAGTGACAGGACAATCATTACAAGTGAGTGTGTTGCCAACATCTCGGCCAGTTTACACGTTAGTTGAATTGTTAGTTGAAATAACCAAAGTGTACTGGCATGATCTTCTGAAATACTGATTTCAAATTGTTTAAATAGTTTGTACGAATAATGGTGGAGCTTCATTTCATGTTTACAGCTTATAGTTATGTTGTATATTGAAAAGTACAACTGTGTCACATGTTTTCAAATGGACTGTCGACTTCTTTCTTAGTCCGTAGGTTGCATTGGGAAGATGTCAGTTCTATCAGAAGTTCTATCTTCTAGTGCTATCAGATGATAGCATTAGCAGTTTTGCATTGAATATATACTACCTGTGAGGACACCATCATTTGAGGTCCAAAATCTTGACCACTCTTCCTCCACAGACATCACACGTACCTTAGCACCAACACCCCTGCTGCAAACCTGCGGACCCAGTTTCGCGCGGATCAACATTCTGGAAGAAACATCCAGTGCCACTACGTACACCGTGTCGATTCCTGACGTTACGAGCTGTCAGAACTGTTCCATTGTCTACGGCAAGGCCACCTGCTTCATCGATGACATGTTCAACGTTTCATCGTTCGTAGTGGCAAACTCGTCGTCTGGTACAACCTGTAACCTGATTGTCAATAACCCCATAGACAGAGAAACAACCCCTAGTGTCAGATTCGGCATCAGTTGGACTAGGATGGTTTATAACCTTGGCCATGTCGTCAGCGAAGAGTGTGGCAGCATTCCAGTTGAGATAACAGTAGAGGATGTGAACGACAACCCTCCAGTGTTCGGAGCAGATCTCGTGACGACCTTCTACCTCCGGGATAGGACGCCCGTGCAGACGATTCTTGCAGTAGCGTCAGCCGAAGATGCCGACACTGGAGAAAACGCAGCCGTAGCGTACAGCATTCCTTCTGCCACGGCATCGGAGTACTTCGAAGTCGACAACAGCGGTGTGGTGACTGCTCGGCGTGAGCTGACGCAAAACCTGCTCAGGCATGTTGGACTTCTTTTGGATGAGCAGGTAGAAGTCGTCGTGATGGCAACTGACGGAGTACACAACGCAACAACAACATTGCCGTTCACATTCATTGACACTGGTGGAGTAAACACAACTTCCAGGTAAGTTGTGTCCATATTACGTCTATATCGCTATATTTTCCTTCTAACAATTCTGAAATCAGCACAATTCCATCTGACAAAGTATATCACAAAGCTCGATGTTCCAAAACACTTAGAAGAGTGATTGTCTGGTAGCTCACTTGCAACTATGAAATGAGGATTGAGCATGGATTACTATTAGTCACTTTCATAATTGGAATCCATAATCTACCTAACATTTTGTAATAAAACCATGCAACTGTTTCCTAACAGCAAATTCGGCGTATCGGTACCGGAGGAACAGCCACCCGGTACTCCTGTCATCAACCTCCGGGACAAGCGACCATTTGACGATGGTGACATCATCTACAGCTTCACTCACACGTCTAAGAGCTTTGAACTAAACTCAACTTCGGTAAGCTTGGTGCCATTATCTTCCGTACATACATTCAGATCATATACTTCGTTGCATTGTCTTAACATTACCTGAAATTTACCAGCATTGGGAAATCCCACTTTTCATGTAGTGTAAGTATTTCAAACCGTACGCGTGGCAATCAAAAAGGAAGGTGTTGTCTGAGGCTGGTAATCTTTATCTTATTTCCTACGATGACAACCTCAGAGACAGGAACTAAAACTGTAAACAATGCTCTGAATCTTGTCTTGCAGGGAGAAGTTACCACGGCGAAGGTTCTTGACCGAGAGGAAGAAGAGTTGTACGAACTGACCATCTCTGCGGCAGACCCTGGTGGATGTTACTCGTCGGTAAGCATATTTATCTCTACGTTAAAGACTGAAGCAGCCGTTATGTTCTGACTTCCCAACGCAAACAAAATAAATAATGGCAATAGGTATCAAGAAAAATGTGCAAAATTCAGGTTACATTACCACACCAGCGAATCTTAAGCGACATTAGAAAGAAAACTACACTTAGGCTAGAACTGTTCTCATCATTTTCATGTCCTGCTTCGGAATTTCAATTTCTGGTGCTAGTAGTGTGTATCTGTAAAATTTTGTTAAATGGCTTGTGTTTTGCTGTACTAGGCCTCCATAGAAATCACTGTACAAGTGGAGGACGTGAACGACCACTCTCCAGTCTTCCTCGAGACGGCCTACAGCGGACGGATAGCCGAGAACGCCGACACAGGACAACCTGTCGCTATTGTAAGCATGAATTTCAATCATAGTATACGTAGTGGCAGCTTTGCTGTGCAAATACCATATACTAGACTACGTTTAACAGTATGAGCTATTCGATAAAACTTCCCAATGATCATTATGTTTTCCTCTTGTTCTCCAAACCAATAAGGTCAATGACCTGAACCAGACGTCTGTCACCATAGTAACTAGGGTTACATCATGTTGCAATTTTATAGCAGGAGGGATTTAGACTCCTGTCACCATATATATGAATGTGTTTGAGTAAGAATTAAAAGATCAGACGTTACATTTCTAGTTAACTGTTGTGTCTCCTCTAGGATAGTGTTGAATGTAGACCATGAAACAGATTTACAAAAGCAAAAGTTCTTAAATTGTACACACTCCAATCCATGCTACAGGACGGCCGTGGCATATCAGCCACTGACGCTGATTTCGGCTTGAACAGTCACATCACGTACAGCATTGACTGTTGCCAAAACGTCTTCGCCATTGATAACAATACGGGCGAAATCACAACCATTGCCGGCTTAGACCGAGAAAATACGCCCGTCTACCATCTGACAATCGTCGCTGAAGATAACCCTTCAAATGAAAGCCTGAGAAGGGAATCTCGAGCCAATCTGACGATCTCAGTTCTGGATATCAACGACCACAGCCCCACGTTCATTGAAATTTCACCAGTTCGAATGTCTTTGTATGAAAATGAAACCGAAGGCTCCATCATCGCCACTTTTGTTTGTTTGTTTGTTTGTTTGTTTATTTGCACAACAGCAATAAAAATTATACATAATACACTAATAACAAATAAAACAGGTGCAGGAGGAGGGAAAAAGCTTATTTAGCTTATGCTAAGCCCTCCTCCTCTATACTAACCAAAACTAAACATAATTGAATTAATTACAAAATTAATTAACAACTGAAATAGTGCTAACAAATCAAATGATAATAATAAATAACAATAGGTAATTAATAAATTTGATCAATATGATCAAAATGATGATAGTAACAAAACAAATAGTAACATGAATAACAAAAGTGATTGATAAATAACGCTAATTAGAAATGATATGTTAAAAACTATAACTTTAACGTTAACAGAACTTTAACTGCAATACAGACATTGGCAGAATTGAAGCAATAACTCAAGAAAATAAATGAATTTTAAAGAGAAACGGAGATTCAAACTTATACAGATAAAATCAAAGTAATAAGAAATCAAATGTCGGTGGAAAAGAAAAGTAGGTGATTTTTAAGATTTCGTTTAAAGCTAATTATTGATGTTAAACATTTTAGGTGGAGCGGGAGATTATTCCAAGTAGTTATACATTTATATTTTACACTCATTTGGGCTACGGACGTTCTAACTAGGGGGATATGGAAATGGGCACTTTGTCGAGTATGGTAAGTATGAAAATGGGAATTAAGATTTAGAAGACCATTAAATGTGTCTGGAAGAGAACAAGTAAGGAATTTAACGTAAATAGCATCAGATGAAGTTTGTTTATGTCAAAAATATTCAAAATATTAAGTTTTGTAAACAAAGGTGCAGAATGTGCGTGGAAACTGGCGCCGGTGGCTGAACGAACAAATCTTTTTTGGAGTAATACTAGGGGCTGTAGTGTGGTTTTGTAGGCGCATCCCCAGACTATATTCCCGTAGGTTAGATATGGGTATATTAAGCTATTGTATATGGTAATAATGGTTTTTTGAGTGAGAAGATGTTTAATTTTTCCAATAATACCGATAGTTTTTGAAATTTTTTTACCTAACATAGTTATATGTGGTTTCCAGGTCAATCGTTCATCAATGATTATACCTAAGAATTTGGCTTGACTCTCTTGAGAAAGGGTCACATTTTTTAAAAGATTTTGGCGCTTCTATTGTAGGTTTTATTTCTATTACAGAAAATAAGGTAGTATGTCTTCTTAACATTGACTGATAATTTATTTGCCTCAAACCACGATATAACCTTTTTCAATTCTTCGTTAGCCAGGTTTACTAGCGTATCAAAATTCGAGTTTGAAAGAAAAAGATTTGAATCATCTGCAAATAGGATAAAGAATATAATTGAGGATGCTTTTTCGAGGTCATTTAAATAAATCAAAAAAAGTAGGGGTCCTAGTATCGAACCCTGTGGGACACCACATTCTATCATTTTGAGTTGTGATTTATTATCATTAAGGGTTACGTATTGCTGTCTATTGGATAGATAAGAAGAGAACCATTTTATTGCGGTGTCACATATACCATATCGTTTTAGTTTATTGAGTAGAATGGAATGATTAACTGTATCAAAAGCCTTTGATAGATCGAGAAAGATTCCTATAGTGTATTCTTTGTTATCTATAGCGGTAGAGATTTTTTCCATTAAGTGTATGAGTGCTAGAGACGTAGAATAGCCCTTTCTGAAGCCATATTGGTGTTTATATAGGATGTTATTTTGATTTAAATGTTTCAGAAGACGATTATATACTAGTTTTTCTAAGACCTTAGATACGCAGGGAAGGACAGATATTGGTCGATAGTTATTAACGCTAAGTGGATCACTGCTTTTAAAAATAGGCGTCACTTTTGCGACTTTTAGTGGGTGAGGAACAACTCCATTTTGCAAGGATAGAGACAAAATATGCGTTAGAGGGGCAATAACATAGGGCAGTGATAACTTTAGTACTTTAGGGCTTATTTCGTCATGACCAGCAGCTGAGTCTTTAAGTTTTTGATAATATCTGTAATTTCAGCACAGGTTGGTGGTATAAAAGTTGTTAGGTTAGAATTTACTTGTAAGGTGATGTAGCTAAGAGGGTCTTGTATTCCTTTTGGGATTTTACTCTCAAGCGTAGGTCCAATATTAATGAAAAAATACATTGAATTCGTTACATATTTCTTCTTTATTTTCGGTTAGTTTTGGTACCAATTTGTATTTTGTTTGGACCAGCTGATTTACTTTTATTACGATTCAAAACGTCATTTATCAGGTTCCATGTTTGTTTTATATTACTGGTGGCTTCATTGAACTTTCTGTGATAGTATTCCTTCTTTGCATTTTTTAGGAGATGATTTAACTTATTCCGGTATTTTTTATAGATACTGTGATTTAAGGGCGTCGGGTTCTTGACATATTTAGTAAAGAGCTTGTTTTTTCTGCGTATTGACTTTAACAATCCACTGCTTAGCCAGGGTTTTCTGCGAGAATGTTGGGAGATTTTTGTAATTTTCTTTGGGAAACATTTTTCGAATAACGATCCGTATGTTCCAAAAAATTGATTATATGCTTTTTCTGTGTCTGTTTCGTTTAATACGTCGGTCCATACTATTTCTGATAGGGATTGTGTAAATTTCTGAATGTTAGTTGTGTTAACTTGACGATAAGATATTTTGTCTGTCTGCCTTACTGGCTCGTTTAAATCGGATGTAAGGAATATTGGGAAGTGATCTGATATGTCAGTGATAAGGATGCCAACTTTGATATTGTTGCTAACAGAATTTGTATAAATGTTATCTATCAAGGTAGCAGAGTAGGGTGTAATTCTGGTAGGTTTGCATATAAGTGGGTAAAAACCAGATGAGAACATTTCATTTACATGATCAGTAGTGGGTTTGTTAGTGTTGTTTAACAGATTAATATTGAAATCACCAATAATGTAACAAGTTGTTCTTTCCCTATTAATATTGTTCATAGATTCCTTTATGCGCTCATTAAATTCTGCAATGTCGGTATTTGGTGGGCGATACACACAGCTCAATATTGTTTTTTTCTCCTTCGGGTTACTTGGAAAATTATACCCTCAAAACTTTGCTAGCCGTGGACCCGGACGAGGGAGCAAACGGCCGCGTATTCTACGAAATACGATCCGGTGCGGAAGGCAGATTCACCGTGAACTCGAGAACAGGGGAGGTTAGAATCGCCGATGAACTTGATCGTGAAACGAAAGACTTCTACCGGCTGGAGATTTTGGCTAGCGATGGCGGGAACCCCCCTCTAGTGACAGATGGTTTTTACTTAGAAATTACGGTCGAGGATGTGAACGATAACACCCCAGCATTCACGGCACCGGACTATGAACTGACAGTACTCGAAGAGACCGAGGTAGGAACAGTGCTAGGAAACATCAAGGCAGAAGACTCTGATATCGGTACAAACGCACAGATACAGTACTCCTTTACAGAAGCTGTGGAAAATTTTGCCATCGATGAAAACACAGGAACGCTGACGGTCGTATCTGTTCTTGATTTCGACAACGCGACGCACCCAAAGCAATCCAGTTTTAAGGTGCAAGCCTCTGACGGTACATTTTCTTCCACTGTAGAGGTTCGCGTGAGCCTCACCGACATAAACGACAACCCTCCTGCATATCGTGCCGACATCTATGAAGTCACTCTGCTCTATGTTACCTATCCTGCTATAGTAACAGCCGTTGACGCAACAGACAAGGACAGTGGTACCAATGCTGAAGTATCCTACAGCCTCGTTGACGACAGTTCAACGCTGTTCAGTATAGATTCTTCCAACGGCATCATTCGGCTTGTAGGTCCTTCAGGCAGTATCATGTATAACATCACTGTAGCGGCTACAGATAAAGGAAATCCTCCCATGAATTCCACAGTTTCTGTCAGTATAAAAATCAGCACAATAGATACTTCTGACACTCGTGTGTCCTTCAACGGGGTAGAATTTGAGGGGCATGTAGAGGAGAACAACGACGACGTACAAGTGGCGACACAACTTCATGCCGCAGTCCAATACGGAAGTACGCCTGCCCCCGCTGACTGCCCACTGAAGTACAAAATGGCGGCAAGTTCTGACGACTCTGAGTTCACTGTCAACGAAACAACGGTCAGTTCACACAGTGTCACCTTCATGTTACCTAACAAATTTATTCTTCAACTGCATAACTACTCCCTTCAGAATGACTGATGCCACTACATGGACATGTTGCAAGCTAAGATACCGCCTTGTTACACTGTAGTACACGGTTTAACGTGTCAGTCAATGCTTTAACGTGTCAGTCATTTTACTATACTTTCAATGTTCATTTTAAAGCCTGGTAAGCACATACATCTCATTTAACTATATGGTTGAACAACAATTATAGAAGTAGACAGATCAGTACCCCAACAAACAAAATATGTATATCATTGGTGAGGTGCCATACTCTGGTAAAAGCATGCTGCAAAGAGGTTGGAACATCAGTATGTCTAATGATCTTTTTCAGGGAGAGATCAGTACAAGAGGAGCCAGGTTTGACAGAGAGACAAGAGCACGATACACGTTTGCTGTAGTCGTCGAGATTTCATGTCCAGGAAAAAGCTTTGACTACACCTCGGTTAGAATCAATATTGTGTGATTTTTCTAAAGCTACAAGATGGAAGAATAGGACTTCATGTTTTGTTTGAGATCTGATGACATTTGACTTTCAGCTATTGTATGGAATCATCTATTTCCTACATCTCATTGTACACAATTTTCAACAGGTTACCATCCACGTCAATGACACAAATGATGAAAACCCAACATTTGACAGCAGCAGCTACAATTTCGAAGCGTTGGAGGGTACTACAGGCGTTGTAGTAGGGACAGTTCTGGCTACAGACATGGATACCGGGTCCAATGCCGACTTCAGTTACACCATCTATCCTAACGGTACGTATACACGCATGTTCGTCTTATAGTGTTGAGAAGACAGATATCATATACATGTATGTATCAAAGAAGAATGCTAGCCCTTATGTTTTAGTAATTAGTATCTTTAGTTTTATCATATGCCTCTTTTTTGGTACTGACTGGTCTCATTTTCTTTTCAGGGAGCCCTTTTAGCATTGACGCCAACGGAGCAATCACAGTGTCGACACCCCTAGATAGAGAGACAACGGACAGCTATACCCTGACAATACTTGTAAGTACGGCCCAGAATGGTTGCCTGAAATGTTTATTCTTCATTTGATGATCTTATGAGCAATGCGATCACTACAGCCATATCCACTGATAGAACTTCTTCATGAATCGTTCAACCATCAGGATAGCTAGCTAGTGAGTAATCGTTGTTTCTACTACTAATTCATAACATTTGTTACTCTTATATATAGGCTGAAGACATGGGAGTCCCTTCCTTGAACGGCACCACCACTGTACATGTACGAGTCCTGGACATCAACGACCATGCACCGGCATTTGCTGCTCCAGCCTATCGCACAGACCTTCGGGAAGATGAAAATAAAGCTGAGGTAAACAAAACCAGGCTTGCCTAAAGTATGAAATACTGATGCAAATGTGCTAATGAGGGGTACTATGTGCCGATACTAAACATATTTCCTTATTCAGAACATTTCCAGTTTTAATGCAAAATATCGCACTGATCATGAATGCCTTTAGGTATGCATTTAAAGTCTATAGAACAAAAAATGCATCTTAATGCATGAACTAACTTATGCATCACTTTTAACGTCTTTTGCAGCTTAACATCAGCATCAGCGCATCAGACGAGGATTCTGGCACGAATGGGGACATCAGATTCTCATTACATGGAGAGGGAAGCGACCTGTTCTTAATAGACGGTAAGCATGACATAATTTACTTCTATTTAACCATAAGTAAGTGGAATGAGCATGCATATATTTGTACGTTGTAGAACCTTTTTCGGTGTATGTATGTTCATCTAAATTTTTCCTTAAACATGAAAAAAATTGTTCTCATTTTTGCCCCTAGATATGTCTGGTGTTGTCCACCTCACTGGTCGTTTGGATTATGAAGACAGACCCAGCTACAATCTGACGATCGCAGCCACAGACAAGGGCCATCCAAATAGAACCTCTACTGCCCCACTGTTGGTCGAGGTGACAGACGTCAACGATAACCCACCCGTTTTCGAGCGGGACAACTACAACGCTTCAACTCACCGCAATGTGCCCACAGAGGACGTACTGGTAACCGTTAGCGCCACTGACCAGGACTCGGGAGTCAACGCACTAGTGTTCTATACCATCACAGGTAAGATTATAGTTCTTTAGTGCTAGGGTTTTTATACGGTGTACCTAACACACGGTTAGTTGTTGCTGTGTAGTTATTGTTGTGGTTAGTACTGTATATATGATAATCATTGTTCTCTTTAGGCTAGCCTTCTCTTCAGAATCTTTAGACTAGGCTGGGGTTGCCACGATTGTTCTCTTTAGGTTAGGCTGTTTGTATGGTCTTCTTTAGCTAGAGTGGTGGTATTTTATTGTCTCTTTAGCCTATGATGGGTGCTTGTTACTGTAGTGAGGGAGATTAATCTAGTTAAATGCCTTTCCTATACAGAATACATGATATTACATATTCTAAGAATTTTTCTAACATTTTCAGGACAGTATGGCTTACAGCCTGCAGTACCAACAATAGGGGAAGCAATGTTCAACATCACCAGCTCTACTGGCGACATCAGGGCCACAACTCACCTGTTTCAGGACGATATTCATCAATACGAACTGATCATCACAGCTACAGACATGGGGGAACCCCAACTCAGCGCCACGACAAAGGTATGATACACAATACTGTTGTGATCTTTTGGGGACGTAGATTTAACCATTGTTATCATTCGAAGTGCTGTAGCTCGTTTTGTAGAACATTTTGTAGGACATGGCTTTGAAAGAGTTTATAGCTTTATAGGTAGCTAAATTTGGCTGGTGATACTCTGGTATGATCTTATCATTCACCAGGATGAAGGCCTGGCGAATCCCCGTCTCGTATTAGCCTCAATGTAACATACAGCCCCGTGCTAGCTGGGAATCCTTGGCTGCATAAATTATAGAATGATCTGAACAGAGGTAAATGCACTAGGAGGAAGCAAGCAAAAGAATGGTCATATTAACAGCTTTCAAATCTCCAACTTGACCCGAGCATTATATAGTTATGTATTTCATAATCAGTCTTTTTTCATGTCATAACAGGTTGTCATCGACGTCGCCAATACTAATTTCTTCGCGCCAGAATTCTTGGATACTCCGGTTCTTCATACAATGAGTGAAGATAGCGGGGTGCTGCCGTTCTTGTCCCGAAGGGTGCGCACAATAAGGGCAAGTGACAACGATACGGAAGCGGAAGGACAAGTCCGGATTTTGCTTTCAAGCAATGATGACATTTCAGGTAGGACGTTACTGCCTGATTATTACTTGATAATTACTTGATTATTACTTACCCTCAAGACAATAGAGAAATAATGAGTTGTCTAATTGTCACGAAAGTTCAAACTTTTGTTCCAACACAAGCAAGAAATACATGTAGTTCTTACTTAGAGCTTTCGACCTAGATCTCACATCAACACTGGGCCAATTCAAGAAAACCAGAGAGACTGATCGAAAGTTCTATGCGAGAACAAGACTTTACGCATTACTAAGTGTGCTGACGAGATCTCAACATTCCTTCTAGAATTGTTCTGGATAACCGGCACAAGAACGTTGTCCGAAGACAAGGTTTTTGAGGCGGAAATTTGGACAAACGCAATCCTGGACCGTGAGACCCACCCCTCAGGACTGAACATTACTGTACTAGCGGTGGACCAGGGAGCTACACCAAAGACAAGCACGGCCTGGGTTCACGTCACCCTGGATGATGTCAATGACAACCCTCCTAATCTGACTGTGCCAGAACGGGTAGCCATCCCACAGGTATGTTTGTCTATTTCCTTTGAAATCATATCATACAAAAAGTACAGCTGTGAGATGACATTGATGGCAATATGTCTGTCCCTTTAATAGAAAGAGTGTAGGGGTTTGGCAATGGAGAACGGTCTTACGGAGAAAGTGTGAATCATGAATAGTGTCATTGTTGTTTTCCATCAATATGACTTTTGTTTGCATTTCCTAAAAACATACAAATATCATGTATACTTGAAGGAAAGTAGTTGTCTAAGGATTCCACTGTTTCGTGCATTGGTAATGACTGCATCATCTATCTGTGCAGTCTCTTACGTGTGCTTGTAAGACACTAACTTATAAATCAAAGAAATCTATCTAAAATTAGGAACAAAGAACGACTAAATGATTGCCTTTCGCCTTACAGTCGTCACCACCTGGCACCTCGGTGGTAACATTGGAGGTTGTTGATCCGGACGTGAACAATCAGTTTTCATTCGAGGCCGTGAGCGAATATTTCTCCATCGTTAAAAGTACCGGGGAAATCTTCACAATCAAGGAATTTCCCGACACTACTGGAGGTAGGGAATATGGTGTTCCCATCTTACTTAGCGACGGCAGTTTCAGTCGGTTTGGGTCCATACCTATATTTGTTGGGAATCCTAACTTCCATGCGCCAATGTTTGACCAAGCTGTGTACCAAGCGACCGTGCAACAGGACTTACAAGTGGGAACCAATCTCAACCTCAACATCTTCGCATGCGACTTAGACTGCCCGGACTCTTGCAACGTCTCCCTACCCACAAACTGTACAGAGGATTCAGGTCGTCTGACTTACGGTATCGCAGAAAATATCAGAGACATCTTCGTGATCAATGTTACCACTGGAATCATCAGCACACAGTGGCCGCTAGAGAGTACGATCACCAACTACAGTTTGGTCGTCATCGCGATTGACCAGGCGGAGAATCCGCGTACTGGGTCGGCAATGGTCTGGATAAATGTTGAAGACGTGGGGACCACTCCTGCACCGACAACCCCGTCACCCCTACAGTGTCCCGCCGAAGAACAGCTCCAGAACCTCCGCTACGTCCTCTTCGGAGTGAGCGGCTTCGCGGGGTTGTGGCTCATGATAACCATTGGGCTTGTCGTGAGATTGGTGACGACTCAACGGCGTATGAAGTACATGTCCACAGCGCACCTAACGACTCCAGCCTTCACTGCAAGCCAGTACGACTACGTGCCGTCAGAGACAAGGGACTACGCGTACGCGGAAGGGATAGGTGCGGATGACGACACGCCGCCACCCCCGCCCGTCGCCGACCGGCCTCCTTTGAGGACTTCTACCCTGAACAACGAACCGTTAGGAGCGCAGGCAACGGACCGCGGGTCCGGGTCATATATGGAGATGCGCTCCAGGATGCGCTCAGGTGCGTAATGTACCCTTTTTTTAAATATTCCCAGCATTATATTCAACAGCAAAGAAAAACAAGAAATCGGAGAAGTGTTTGGGGGTTTCGGAAATGTATTGGAACTGTTGAGAGGACTGTATGGCGTAATTTGATTGGATATAACACATAGTCCGCCACTTCCTGAATTCCTCCATGTACTGCCCAGCTCGGTTTGGTCGACCTCCCTTACAATCAACTGTAACCAAATATCCACCCACTGTCTGTGCTGCAGACAAGCATACACACAAGCCCACATATCACCCCAAACAATTCCTCAGAGTCTGTACCCATAAGTAAAGTACTTGTCAACCCTTTATTCTAAACAGAGCTGCAACGCCAGGAGCGAATCGACGCCCGAGCTAGGGGAGACGGCGTCTACAGGGAGCTGAAGTAAGTTGGGTTACGCAGAGATTGAGTGAGTGAGTGAGTGAGTGAGTGAGTGAGTGAGTGAGTGAGTGAGTGAGTGAGTGAGTGAGTGAGTGAGTGAGAGGGAGAGAGAAAGAGAGAGGGGGGAAGAGAGGGAAATACAGACACGCTAAAGTATTGCTGGAAGGATATGTAAAGAATTAATTTTTTTAATGCTTACTATAATACGAGAACTGGTAATCCTTTCCATATCTTGGAACACTGGTTGCATGAAAGTCAATCTATGCTATTGACCTATCAATTCCAATTCAGTCACATATTATGTACACTTTGTAAACGCATAGTGACTTTAAGAACATTTTAACTTCAGGTATGGCTATCTGCCGCTCAACACTGCTGCCTCTGGACCAGTTGACCCTGCAGCAGACAAGTATGGGTACCTGAAACCTGGCAATATTAATCTAACACGTCTGAACAACCAGCCACAACCCAACAACCCCAACCCTGGCGACATACGGCGGAACGACATGTACACCACCGACATCCCAAGCCCGGATTACGATATGCTGCCTAGAAACACGCGGCTGTAAATATTGATATACAAAAGTGAACATGTATATATTGTTTTAACGGCTTTGTTACCTTCGCCAAGAAGGTTATGTTTTCTTAGCGTTTGTCCGTTTGTTTGTTTGTCTGTGAACAGCATAACTCAAGAAGCTTTGTATGCATTGTTATAAAACTTGGTTGGTGGGTAGGTCTTGATGAGACCTATAAATGATTAGATTTTGGGCCCCTTGGTGGCTTTCCTAAGTACTGCAGCAGAACTTCCTGTTTTGATATCTAATGATCTGGACAAGCTATGGTCATGAATTTTGGTTGGTAGATAGCTCTTAGACTACGAAAGAAGTGAAATGAGTTTGTGCCCCCTAGCGGCTTGTTCTAGCACTGCAGGAGCGTTTGTTGAAAAAATATTCGAAGGAGAATAAGAAAAAGAAAGAAAGATGCATGATGCACTCTCTGACTCTCCGGAAATTGGAAACGTGATGACGTCATCAGGAGCGCATCAAAAGTGACAGGAAGACGGCCCCACCGGCACTTTTGATGCGCTCCTAATGACGTCATGACACTTCCGACTTCCGGAGAGTCAGTGAGTGCATCATGCATCTGACGAGATCGACCGAAATTTTATGGTGAGTTTCTTCCTTGTGTTGGAACAAAGCTTGAACTCTATAACTAGGATTTACCAACACAGATGAGCTTTCATTCGACTATCAAATAGACATTTTTATTTGGTCTAGTTTGTTGTGCATTGCAGGTGTGGTATTTTGCTGTGGGACTCTTCATATTAGTAACTGTTAGATCATATCGAAGAACACATTATGTAGAGTAGGGATTTCTGAAAGAATTAAATTTTGATGCATTTGATACTAATATTGTCTAGTTTTTGATAATGTGAAAACGATGTTCAGATATACTGTTCAGATTTTTATGTGTTTTGTGTGATATTCAATGATTAACAAATTACTTGACATTAATATTGAAGCCATATCAATGAAGCTGAAATAAAGCAATGACCAATACATGTATCTATTAATAAATAACCTACACCAGCTTGTGACACTTGTATTTTTGAGGATGAGAGTTCAAATAATGTATGATGTACAATGTAAATATATGAACTTGATACTTGACTTGTCTCAAGATGCTTTGATTTCTTTTAGAACATGTTAAAGTTAATGTGACAAAGGCATCAAGTAAGGGGCATGAACATATCAGAGTCTGTGTGTGGTCTAATGTATTCTTTTTGTTTTCTTGTACAAGTTTTCTTTAAAATTACCCTTCATTATGTTCTGCAATCCCTCTATCGTACTCAATTTATCAAGTTGAACATAAAAGAAAACTAAAAAATAAGATATCATAAAACAATCTTATGATGGTTTATTAAAAAAACAAATAAAAATCCATGGAAACATAATTGAAAACCAATATCTTCTCTATCAACATTAGCAGTGTAAGTACTAGTAAAATTAAATTTTCTGCAATCATTCACTGAAAGCAAGTTCTGTAATGAAATATACACCACACAGAACTTGAGTCCTGTCTGTACACTTGAAAGCTAATTCTATAGTTAAAAGTTAAAGCAAACCTTTTAATAGGAAATAAAAGTATATATATAAGCCTTATTATATTTATAATTAGAGAATATATTCATTGATAGATTAAAATCATATACATCTTCATGATACTCTCGCCATTTCCCTTTTTATGGCTCACTTCAGAAGTATAATTGACCATGGCTAACTGTACACATGGTGTTTGTTATTCAGCCATTTTCTTATTCATTGATTGTGGTTTACTGTGGAGGCAACTCTCCTTTAGCAGCACACCCCTGGGGGAAGCTATTCTTCCAGGAGAGGATTCATAACTGACCCCTCCAGTGTTGAACATTAGCTTTCCAAGCCAGGGGCATAATCTACTCATCGACAAGTCAACAGAACATGTAATATCACAACAAACTTGAAATGAAACAATTGAGTAACAAAACAATCAGTTTAAACAGGTGTTACAAAACAATAACTTAAACTCACAAAAGGAACTTAGAATAAGAGACTAAACAACAGCAAAATATGGCTGTTCATGATGATTCTGATTTTAAAACAAAATTCTGGAAAACTACTGTTAAAACTTTGTAGATTTTGATATGTTACCCTTGAAGACTTGCAGACCGAGTCAAGAAATTGTAACCAAGAGGCTCACAGATCACACAGCGTTAATGACCAGATCTGTCAACAGAAAATGTGTCATTATTTTCAACATACAAGAAAAGTACACAGCAATTATCTGTATTATGAGCATGTAAATTATGGAAGAATTTAACTCTCAACACAAGAGACCTGTAAAATTTTTGAGCAGTTCAATTCTACCTTTAAATTTTATGATAATTGTACCAACACTGATGAATTGTCCCGCTAGTGAGATAGCAGATTGAGCAAACTTAGAACCTAAGAAAGAACAATTTGAAAATAAAACAAAAGTCTTACATATTGCATTGCTCACCTAGTTAGTAGTATGCAGAGTATCGGTTCTGGTTTGTTTCGCCACTAGAGACTTTGGGACGTGGCAGCTTGAATTCCTGAAACAAATAATGTCACTGTCAAAGGTTGATAGAACAGTTACATGTCCTCATTGGCAAGTGATTGGGTCAGATGGATGAAGAAAAAGATTGAATGATTCAGTCGAGTTGGAGAACAGTTTGATTTTTACATACTTGTATTATTTATAATTTACAAGCTTACTGGTAGATGGTGTGTTATGCCAAAGGATGCTATTACTCAATAAGCAAATTTTCATTACCAATACTATGGAATTCAGTGTGTGAGTACTGTATACTGATCATGCTCAAATGCAATTATATTTAGACACACTGTGAGCGGATGAATTTCCATGATAATCAGACCTTCTTGGTTGGTACGTTCTCCACCGTAGGGTTCCACTGTCTGTTGGGGTTGTGTTCATCGCCCTCCTGGAAGGTGGTCAGTTCCCCCTTCAGGTAGTTAAACTCATACCCGGTCAGTCGAGAAGCCCGGGCCAGGTTGTTCTGTGGGGAGTCTGAGTTCTGCTGATCGTACACGTTTACTGGCACATCTGTGTTCTTCCCGAGACTACAGAACAGAGTGGATGTAGGGTAGATAATAAGCCATTATAGTCAATGTCACACACTACAGGTTGTACTGTGTCTGAGTGCTGCTTACTTACATGTTAAAGGGCTCTGTGTTCTTCCCCAGACTACAAAACAGAGTGGAGCTAAGAGTGGAAACTAATTATTCTGTTAGTCAATGTCAAGCATTTAAGTCTAAGAATAGGAGTTGCATTCAATTTAAGGTTTTTGCTCTGAAATATTGAACAGTTATAACTGTTAAGTAATGACTATCAAGCCTAAGCTGGCTGAAACTATTCTTCAAGAGTTTATACTTAGTAATGATACTCCCCCCTCTTTGGTTACACAATAGCACCTGTAAGTCTGGCCTGCCAAACTCTTTTGAGTTCTATTTCACAGTAACTGTTTTAATTTGTATGCACTAGAAAACATTTTCTATTGTTTACTCTGGCCTGTATAAATCTTAGAAATATGGTGCATGTGCACATAGATATGTGATACTCACTTATAGAGTGGCACTGCCTCGTCAGATGGTCTACCTCTGTGCATGGAGCTGACAGGACGGGCTGAGGCCAGCCACACATTCCCCTGGTCAGTCCTGAAGGCCAGGAACAACAGTTACTGTTACAGACTTTTCATTCCAAAACATGCAGTACTATATAATATTATGCAATGTATATTATGTGCATTATTTGCTATACATTCAGCATTGTCCATGGAAACAAGGCCTAACTTAACTTTTGACAGCATGTCTGAAATTTTCTATTGTTTGTGGAATTGGCAATTTCTTAAGATGTTGCATTGTCACTGACAACAGTGCTGTTGCATGCTAACAGTTTCTTTGAATCCTAGGTGAGATTGAGTGCCAGATGAGGACTTAAGGGAAATTGATTTTTAGTATTCTACAGGTTAAGTCTTTAAGCCACAGGTTAGAATAAATCCTAACTCATAAATCTAATGATAACTTTGTTTGACCTGACTGACCTCTCAAGGTCATCCTTCCTACGTGACCTTGAGCAGCAGAGACAGCCCACGAGGACAATGATGATGAAGAGTAGCCCCCCTCCCACTCCTGCACCAACGCCAATCACAACAGTCTGAGGCAGGTTGAGCTCACACCTCTCCCCACCGTGGTACACAAAGGAGTTGGCAACACAGCTGTGGTGTGGAATATAGAACAAGAATGTTAGGATTTGCTACATAATAATAACATAATATCCAAACATTGAGATTCTACACTAACAGCCTAGAGTTATGGTCATGTACCTGGAAAACTTGCTGAATAATCACCAACATAGCTTATCAATGGAACGTATTGTTTGTAAACAAGTATCAGATTATTTCTCGAAGAATTCACTTATGTCTGAGCATCAGCATGCATACAGGAAGAACCATTCAACCTGTACTGCACTGCTGCACATGGTAGATGATTGGTACCACAGTATAGATCAGGGGAAACTGGTAGGCGCCATTTTCCTCGATTTCTCAGCAGCTTTCGACCTTGTTGATCACAACTGTCTACTTTTGAAATTAGCATGTTATGGCTTTGATGAATCTACCACCAAATGGATGGCAAGTTACCTGACGGGAAGAGAACAATGTGTTCACATAAATGGAACAAACTCTTCCTTTAAGGAACTGCCTTGCGGTGTGCCCCAGGGGAGCTGTTTAGGGCCCCTTCTTTTTACCATTTATACTAACGATCTACCGCTTGCCATCACTCAGGCCACAGCGGATATGTATGCTGATGACACATCAGCCTACATATGCGCTCCTTCTATTGAAACTATCTCACATAATCTACAGACAGAGGTAAACAACATCTGTAACTGGGTAAGAGTGAACCAGCTTTTCTTGAACACTTCAAAAACAAAATGTATTGTACTGGGGAGCAAGCCCAAAATGTCTGCTAAACCCAAACTCACACTAACTGCAAATGGTAAGGTTATCGAACAGGTCTCAGAGGTAAAACTACTTGGTTCGACAGTAGATGAGTGCCTTACCTGGAATACTCACACAAAATTAACATCTAAGAAAATGGCTAGATCACTGGGGATGATCAAAAGATGCGCACACTTTATGGATCAAACATTGTTAAAAATTGTAATAGAATGCCTTGTACTATCTCACATTGATTATTGCAGCCCAGTTTGGTCATGCACAACTAAAACTAACATAAACCTTCTGCAACGAATGCAGAACAAGGCAACTCGTCTGTTTCAGTCGAAGCCACAGTGGAAACCTGTGCACACGAGATTGTTAATGAACACCATGACAACATTTAAAAGGATAACACTCACAAATGAACCTATTTGTATCAGTAGGCAACTGCGTTCGGTCAACAACTTGCATAGTTATAGAACCCGTTTTGCTGCTAAACAATCTTTTCTGTTAGAGAAACCTAGAACTAACGCACTGATGAAGTGTTTCATGTACAGGGCTGTCAGTGTGTGGAATAACCTTCCAATAGTTATGCAGTCCACACAATCCCTGAGAGTGTTTAAGGATGGTTTGCACAAATACATCCACCAGTAGTTACAAGCACTGTTCGACAGGATTGTCAGTTTTTTAAATTATGTATATTGTAGATATGTTATTGTTATTGATTTAGATGTGTTTGTGACTTGTCTAGTTGTCAACCATGTTTGTATAATGTATTGTCTCTGTGAATGAATACCAGGAAGATTAGCGGTGGACCCTAGGGTCCACCGCTAATGGTTATTCTAATAAAGTTTCAAAGTTTCACTGTGACAATGATCATCACAAACCATTACTATCATGTATGAGTGCTTGACAGGACATACAAAATATATGATAATCATTAGCCCAAAAGGGGTATTTTCTTGCTTGTTGTTTTCTTATAGATTGAAATGAAGACTAGTGTACATGCAGTACTGTTGAGTGTTTATTTTTCTTTGCCCAGGTAGGAATTTGGGTTTCAAATTGGACCACTCATCACTTTGCTGCCATTTCTGGTCCATGTTGGGTCTCCCCAGGATGAATAAATATGTCTAGAACTTGCTTAACTTCCTAAATATGTTCAAATTGATGCACATTTCTCTCTCATCTGTTATCTAATGTATCTGATACAGATACAGATACATTAGAGAACAGATGAGAGAAAAACATCCTTTCAGCATAACAGGAAGTCTGGTAGAGTACTGTAACAGTTGTAGTATTGTCAAAGACTACATGATAGTTTGTTACCTTCAGTAAAGAAAAGAGAGAGTCATGATCACCTGCATTTGGGTCCTTGCTGAGGGATAATCTCACACTGTCCACCATTTCTACAGTAGTCATCCTCACAGACACACTGGGCTATCAGCACTCCATATATGGTCGTCAGGTTACACAGAGCATCAGCACCACAGCCTGTTGTACACAGCTCAGCCTCGCCTAGCTCTGCAAGTTCTGCATAAACAAAAAAAAACAACTTTGTAAAACAGAACTGGAAAACTATATTTCTTCAATTGTAAATTATGTTAAATTCACAGCTGAAACTTGGTCCTCCTATGGAATTTACACTAGTCATTACATTTTATTTTATGATTATAAAATAACATTGCATACAGTTTGACTTTGAGTTCCGACTTCTGACTACAGTTATATATATTAAATGTACTGTATCTAAGTCACAATGTCAGGATAAGGAAGTTTTAAGCCAGCAGACTACATTCATTTGCAAAATTTGACTGGGCTATAGAGGTGTGAGTGAGTGAGTGAGTGAGTGAGTGAGTGAGTGAGTGAGTGAGTGAGTGAGTGAGTGAGTGAGTGAGTGAGTGAGTGAGTGAGTGAGTGAGTGAGTGAGTGAGTGCGTGCGTGCGTGCGTGCGTGCGTGAGTGAGTGAGTGAGTGAGTGAGTGAGTGAGTGAGTGAGTGAGTGAGAGTGATTCTAGCAGTGTACTCTTGTTAGATGAAAACAAGTTTGGACTTCACAATAAATTTCTGTCTATCTATAAGTTTAATCTCACATGCAAGTACAATAGATGTATTATTAATTCTTACAAGCATGAGGATTACAATCTTACCTGTGCTTGTAAGCGTAACCGTTGTGAATGAAGCTGGCTCAACACTGTAGTTTGCTATGCTGAAGGTTCCGTTCAGGACTATGTTTTCTACAGCGTTCATGATCTCATCATTGGACGGTGCGTCCTCGCTGTCAAAGATGACGATGTGTCTCACAATGATGCTTCCAGGCCTACATGTTTAAGAAATAAGACGAGTTCATGTCTATGTATGGGTGCACATGGTTTTCAGCACCAAGGACAGACATTATAGTAGTATACAGTCAAACTTGTGACCATCTGATTACTAGTACACATGTACCTGATTAGTGGTCACTATAAAGTTGACCTTATAGACAGGAGGTGACTATAAACAGGAATTTGTTCATATCACAGTCAATTTAAAAGGTGACACTATGTGGCCACAATAGCCAGGTGCCCCTTATGGCCAGTGGTGGTCACTAGTGTAAGGATTGACTGAATCATACAATGTACATTTTTCTACCATGACAAGAGAAGACAAGACAGAAACATTGTGCTTATACATACATTTGTACCATGTGTATCAACAAGAGTTAGGACAGTATCTTTACAGATGATTAAATGTTAACATTGGGATAATCATAATAAACAGCATTGTAACACATTAAGTACTGATACACACTTGAGATATATGGTGACACTCACCAATTTATAAATCTATTAAAAATGCAAATACTCACCTGAATCCCAGGATACGGATGTCTTTGAATCCTGGTTGAGTGTCATACACTGGACGTAACTGTCAGACATATTAGATATGATGATAATGCAATTTGCAACAAATTAATAATCACATCAAAAAAGTTTGCTCTTCCTTGACTCATGGCTTCAGTCTATGTCTGTTAAGTAGAACAGAATTATTGTTATGAAATTAAAATTAAATAGAACAGAATGATTGTTATGAAATTAAAATTGAATACTCCTCAATAAAGATTCTAGTTGTGTAATTTAGTAATGACCATGATTCTTTGGGGCATAAGCCCTCCCCCTTAGAAAATACACATGATGCAGGCAGGCACAACTTTGATTAGTAAAAGAAACAACATTAGCTACTGGGAATTCTTATTCATAAGTGGCATGATTATAGCTCCATTGAATGAAAGAACTAGGATCTGAAGTGATTTGGTACCACTGACAAACAGATGCAGAAAAGATTTGATCAATGTGTACAATACAATTATAGAAATTAAGATACACATATTAAGTGTCTCACTCACATCAGTTAAGCACTGTTGCTCCAAAGTCCGGTAGGCACTTGATGATTTGTTGGCCAAACCAGCTGCATTTCCATCAAGACTCAGGGAGAAGGCCAAGATCTTTTCAGGCTTTCCTACAAAAAACAATTATAGGTAACATTTAGTTGAAAATGTTAAAAAAAAAAACAAGCCAAATTTCAAAGGTAAGCATTATTCCAAAAGATGCAAGCTGAACTTGACAAACCTGGTTTTTCTGTAACAGGGGCTTTGGTTGTGACAGGCTTTTCTGTTGGTTTGCTGGTAGCGACGACTCCAGTGGCTGTAGAATTCAATGTTGTTGCCATGCCAGTGGTCAAAGCAGTGTCAGTTGTAGTCATGCCAGAGGTTGCAGCCGTATCTGTTCCAAACATAATGGAAGTTGGTGCTTGAGAGGTTGCAGCCACACTGGAAGTTGGTGCTTGAGAGGTTGTGGCAACACTGGAAGTTGGTGCTTGAGAGGTTGCAGCCACACTGGAAGTTGGTGCTTGAAAGGTTGTGGCAACACTGGAAGTTGGTGCTTGAGAGGTTGTGGCAACACTGGAAGTTGGTGCTTGAGAGGTTGCAGCCACACTGGGAGTTGGTGCTTGAGAGGTTGCGGCAACACTGGGAGTTGGTGTTTGAGAGGTTGCAGCCACACTTAAAGTTGGTGCTTGAGAGGTTGTGGCAACACTGGAAGTTGGTGCTTGAGAGGTTGCAGCCACACTGGGAGTTGGTACTTGAGAGGTTGTGGCAACACTGGAAGTTGGTACTTGAGAGGTTGCAGCCATACTGGAAGTTGGTGCTTGAGAGGTTGCGGCCACACTGGAAGTTGGTGCTTGAGATGTACCCATAGTGGTGGTTGGTGCTTGAGATGTATCCATAGTGGTGGTTGGTGCTTGAGATGTATCCATAGTGGTGGTTGGTGCATGGGATGTACCCACGGTGGTGGTTGGTGCTTGAGATGTACTCATAATGGTGGTGGTTGGTGCTTGAGATGTACCCATAGTGGTGGTGGTTGGTGCTTGAGATGTATCCATAGTGGTGGTTGATGCTTGAGATGTATCCATAGCTGTGTTAGTTGGTGCTTGAGATGTATCCATAGTGGTGGTGGTTGGTGCTTCAGATGTATCCATAGTGGTGGTGGTTGGTGCTTGAGATGTATCCATGGTGGTGGTTGGTGCTTGAGATGTACTCATAATGGTGGTGGTTGGTGCTTGAGATGTATCCATAGTGGTGGTTGGTGCTTGAGATGTATCCATAGTAGTGGTTGGTGCTTGGGATGTATCCATAGTGGTGGTTGGTGCTTGAGATGTATCCATAGTGGTGGTGGTTGGTGCTTGAGATGTATCCATGGTGGTGGTTGTTGCTTGAGATGTACTCATAATGGTGGTGGTTGGTGCTTGAGATGTATCCATAGTTGTGGTGGTTGGTGCTTGGGATGTATCCATAGTTGTCACAGTGGTGGTTGGTGCTTGAGATGTACCCATAGTGGTGGTTGGTGCTTGAGATGTATCCATAGTTGTGGTGGTTGGTGCTTGAGATGTATCCATAGTTGTCACAGTGGTGGTTGGTGCTTGAGATGTATCCATAGTGGTGGTTGGTGCTTGAGATGTATCCATAGTGGTGGTTGGTGCTTGGGATGTATCCATAGTGGTGGTTGGTGCATGAGATGTATCCATAGTTGTGGTGGTTGGTGCTTGAGATGTATCCATAGTTGTCACAGTGGTGGTTGGTGCTTGAGATGTATACATAGTGGTGGTTGGTGCTTCAGATGTACCCATAGTGGTGGTTGGTGCTTGGGATGTATCCATAGTTGTCACAGTGGTGGTTGGTGCTTGAGATGTATCCATAGTGGTGGTTGGTGCTTGAGATGTATCCATAGTTGTCACAGTGGTGGTTGGTGCTTGAGATGTACCCATAGTGGTGGTTGGTGCTTCAGATGTATCCATAGTGGTGGTTGGTGCTTGAGATGTACCCATAGTGGTGGTTGGTGCTTGAGATGTTTCCATAGTGGTGGTTGGTGCTTGGGATGTATCCATAGTGGTGGTTGGTGCATGAGATGTATCCATAGTTGTGGTGGTTGGTGCTTGAGATGTATCCATAGTTGTCACAGTGGTGGTTGGTGCTTGAGATGTATACATAGTGGTGGTTGGTGCTTGAGATGTATCCATAGTGGTGGTTGGTGCTTGGGATGTATCCATAGTGGTGGTTGGTGCTTGGGATGTATCCATAGTTGTCACAGTGGTGGTTGGTGCTTTGGATGTATCCATAGTGGTGGTTGGTGCTTGAGATGTACCCATAGTGGTGGTTGGTGCTTCAGATGTACCCATAGTGTCAGTTGGTGCTTGAGATGTATTCATAGTGGTGGTGGTTGGTGCTTGAGATGTATCCATATTGGTGGTTGGTGCTTGAGATGTATCCATAGTGGTGGTTGGTGCTTGGGATGTATCCATAGTTGTCACAGTGGTGGGTGGTGCTTGAGATGTACCCCATAGTGGTGGTTGGTGCTTCAGATGTACCCCATAGTGGTGGTTGTGCTTGGGATGTATCCATAATTGTCACAGTGGTGGTTGGTGCTTCGGATGTATCCATAGTGGTGGTTGGTGCTTGAGATGTACCCATAGTGGTGGTTGGTGCTTCAGATGTACCCATAGTGTCAGTTGGTGCTTGAGATGTATTCATAGTGGTGGTGGTTGGTGCTTGAGATGTATCCATAGTTGTGGTTGGTGCTTGGGATGTATCCATAGTTGTCACAGTGGTGGTTGGTGCTTGAGATGTACCCATAGTGGTGGTTGGTGCTTCAGATGTACCCATAGTGGTGGTTGGTGCTTGGGATGTATCCATAGTTGTCACAGTGGTGGTTGGTGCTTGAGATGTATCCATAGTGGTGGTTGGTGCTTGAGATGTATCCATAGTTGTCACAGTGGTGGTTGGTGCTTGAGATGTATCCATAGTGGTAGCTTGGTGCTTGAGATGTATCCATAGTGGTGGTTGGTGCTTGAGATGTTTCCATAGTGGTGGTTGGTGCTTGAGATGCATCCATAGTGGTGGTTGGTGCTTGAGATGTATCCATAGTGGTGGTTGGTGCTTGGGATGTATCCATAGTTGTCACAGTGGTGGTTGGTGCTTCGGATGTACCCATAGTGGTGGTTGGTGCATGAGATGTATCCATAGTTGTGGTGGTTGGTGCTTGAGATGTATCCATAGTTGTTACAGTGGTGGTTGGTGCTTGAGATGTATCCGTAGTCATGGTTGGTGCTTGAGATGTACTCATAATGGTGGTGCTTGGTGCTTGAGATGTATCCATAGTGGTGGTTGGTGCTTCAGATGTATCCATAGTGGTGGTGGCTGGTGCTTGAGATGTATCCATAGTGGTGGTTGGTGCTTCAGATGTTCTGATAGCTGTTGTTGTTGCTTTAGATGTACCCATAGTGGTGGTGGTTGGTGCTGGAGATGTTGTAGCTATTGCAGATGTTCCAGATGCTTTTGATGCTGTGGTTGCTCCAGACGTCACACGAGTTGTTGTTGCTGTCCTAGTTGTTGTTGTGACTCCATATGTTCCAGTAATCCCAGCTATCAAAATTGAATCATATGATGAGAAACAAACCAGTGAATATAACGTTACGTAGAATGCTAATCAACCTGATGGTCTAGCTCATTATGACATTTGGCAGTTCAAAATAAACGCGACATAAAGATGAAAATTTTCACAACTTCTAGCCACAACCAATATCCTGTCTACCATAAAAAAATACGATGCTTTTGATGCTTATGTACAAAGACTCACCGCTACCACGGCCCACACTACCGTGAAGTGCACGGCGGCATGCCGCGAACCTTCTTGGATAACATAAACAACCATTCTATTTACTTAGGTCAGGGTTCAGATCAATTAGGTCAGAGGTCAGCTCCTTGAGCACCACTGTATCGTCTGCAACAAACCCGAATTCGCTATAAAAAATCGACATATTGACTTTTTTTCTCAGACAGAAACACTATTGGTGCATAGGACAGTGTCTGAGTTTCAAGAAACCAGAAATTCTGACCTAACTTTCTTCTTTTTTTGTTACAGAAAGAAGCGCATGTGGGGAGGGGGGCCGCCATAACAGTCACCGGGTAAGTAGAACACACTGCGCCGGCTATAAAAACGGGAAGCAGTGCAGACGTGTGTATTGACATGTTGTTTTGTTCAGATATTGCATTTTCAGTGGTTTCCATTGTTCCCTTGTCGTATTTTCTATGCGTTGAACGCGTTGTTTTGCTTGCTATCTATACGCGCGTATGTTTACATGTGCATGGATGGCGTTCAGCACCAAGGGCAGGTCCAATTGACTGTGCGTGGATGGTGTTTAGCACCTAGTACAGGCATGTTTGCTCGTTTGTGGATGGTATTTAGTGCTAAGGAACCTGTTTATGGCCTTAAATGAGAGTCAGTCACTGTTCAGTAGATTGTGTGTGATATTTTGTCCCATAAAAAGTGTCATTCCTATGTTCCAATGTACAATTGTAATGTATACTGTAATACTGAAACTCTAGTATAGAAAATATGGTTGGTTGCATGTACATTAACAACTAGCTGCATATCATTTTCTGCCATTTTTCTACAGTTTCCAAGCCATGTATAAATCTATAAGTCTGTCATGGCATTCAATCATATTTCTGTACAATAGTCAGCTTTTTCTATTCTAGGTTTTGTTTTACTTTACTATTGGAAAACCTGATGACTGTTTTTTTTTACATTATTACCTTATTCTACCCAAGCAAAAAAAGGTTTCCCTCTAGTACATCATTCATTGCGTTTTGTTCTAGGTTTTACTTTTGATTATTGTTACTACATGGGGAAATATGCTCTAACACTCCCATGCCCAACTAGTAATACAAATGAGGTCAGGGGTTCAACACTGATTTTTAACTTGCACATCTTTGTTTACATATTACACAGGGATCAAAATATCATCGGCATATGCAGGTCAATGAGATGTCCACCTGTACTATGACTGTAGGTATATCATGGTATTTTGGTCTCTGCATTGACTGTATCACCTATGAAATGCAAAACCATTATAACTGCTTCCCTTGGCTCAAAATACCACCTGGGTGCTAGTGCAGGTCCATTCGGGGCTGTGCATGTATTTCTGACTAGCACATAAATAACTGGGACTGGCCCTTATACTGGATTAATATGTGTGTGTTATCTTTTTTGTTCACTGCATTGAATAATGGTTTCTTATCAGTTTTGATGTGATCCCTGCTTCCTAAAATCTTGCAGTAATTATATCAATCCATGCTTCTGCTAGCATGTTGCAAGAGGCAAGGACCTGTGAGATGTGTTTACTATAGTATGGTATATGTACTAAAGGGTTAACACACAGACAAGAAGGTAATTATTTGTGATAACAATGCAATGTTTCTACCACATTTAAAGTGCCATATACAGTGTAGCTCATAAGTTGACACACTTGACCTACTTTATCAATGAGTTACAAATTGATCCAATGCTTATTGCTGTGATTTTACCATTTGATATTTGTTATGATTTGATGACGGGTGGTTTCATAAGTGCATAGACTCGGACTATCAAACTTACCATGACTTGACCAATAGCAATAATCACAGGTATTGTTACAGTATCAAATGTTTAATGCCATGTTTCAGTGATACATTCTTTATGTATGTGTTGATATACTATGTTATAATACAATTAGCAGCTCTAGTGAGGAAAATGGGGAGTCAATTTTACCAACATAATCCATTCAATGGGCCTGAATACATTTTGTTGTGTTGTTTGTTTTTTTCGCGCATAACTGGCAACTGCTATCAGGTAACTAACACACTAGCTT